AAAGGACAGGCTCCCTCCTAACGCTCTCCTGTGGCTCAAGAACACATCTGCTTGCCTGCCCTGCAAAAGGCTGCAGATGAGGAAGAAAAACTCCCCAGAAAAACCACTGGAAACCAACGAGCAAAGACCCTGCAAAGGGAAAGTGTCACCTCCGTAAACAAAGCACCAGGTATGCAAGAAAATCCAGTGCATGTTACATTTGCAGCTGCGTATTGTACAGGATTAAGATTTGTGTTTTCTGGGAAAAAGCGCACATCTACAGCCCAACTAGATCAAAGAGCCTTGTCGGCGAGTTATTTAAGTCTTAAGTACCTGCACGCTGGCTTGCAATGCTGGTTCACTTTTCTCTCTACTGTCAACGAAGAGCCTGGTCGGCGGGCCACCGTGCTCTCCAAGCATCCTTAATACTCAGCTGTCTTCCACACAGGCACAACCGAACACTCAAGACCCAAGCCATTTGTTAAAAGATGAAGCAGGGTTATAAAAATCCCACGCGCGAGTACACCCGCTAATGCTCTTCTTACTAAGCACAGTTATTTCCTTCTGTCTTAGTTTGGGAAGGGGTGTGGGTCAGTATGGCTTACAGGAGCACGACTCCACCAGAACCTCAAACTGCCCACGCACATGGAGAACATCCAAGACGGAGCCATCATGGTTTTCCAGTCCTGACCCACCTTAAGTCAGCGCTCAGGTGGGGCTTTTCCTGCTTTGAATACACAGCACGATATGCAAATCCTGCGGGAATTCAAAGTTTTCAGAGTTCCTGCAATGCACAACCGTGTGTTTGAAAATACGACTGTACGCTGAAAGCGGACCACGAGTTTTTATTTGCTGCTACGTTTTGTACTTTAGATGCCTTTCACATTTCTTCACCACCACCACCATCTACATATGCTTCTCATTATCAGGGTTTAAGTATTACAGCTATCACAGGAACACACCCCATTTCCTTCTCGAGCAAGAGACCCGATTTACTGATTTACCTGCCAATTGCCATGAACACTCGCGATGCAGAAGTAATAAGCCTGAAAAAACAACTTGCGACCCAAAGCAACTATGAGAAGAGCTTCAAATCAGCCGGCTCTTCCTAGGGGGCACAGGGAGCAGCACTGTTTGAAGTCCCTTCTCCTTCAAAAGGAAAACCGGGAGTTAAAGGATTTTCTTTGTGCCCAAGAGAGCGGCTGCAGAAGCAGCAGCAGGAGACTCTTAATGGCCGCCGCCAAAAAATAAACGTAGGGGGAAAAGATTTAGTTTGCACACCATTCCTCTACAGAAGATGTTGCAAGGTAAATAAAGCGTGGAGACTCTGGGGGTGTGGTCTTGCAAGTATTTTTGACCCAGACTTTGGGGAAGTTTTCCAAGCCTCGAAGTCATCCCCATTTGATTACTTTAATTAGATGGTTATGTAATAAACCGTAGGAGGGACTCGGTTTCTTTTGGATCACATTTCTTGATCACACTGGTTACAAGCAAGAAGCATGCGCTATAAATGAAAATACACTTTCATGTTTTTCTGCTTATGTATTTGAAGTCAGATGAATTTTGTAACAGTACTGAAAAAGTTGAGTTACCCTCCAAGTTGCTATCAGACTTCAGCATCTGAGCAATCCATTTATTATTTATAGGCAATACAGACAGCACACAGAGCAAGCGGATAAAATAATTCACACATCTGCCTTACACACAGCCTCACCGAGGCAGAAAGCAATCAACACCCAACAAAAAGTAACGCGAGCGAGGAGGCAGAGGCTCAGAGCCCAGACCAAGAGCAGAACGCACCTCACTGTGCTCCGTCCTGAGGAGACACCCGCTTTCATCCTCCAGCACAAAAATAGGATTTGTTACCCACCAAAAGCAGTACGGTCTCTAAGAAAGGATGAGAAACAGGAAGAAAAGGAGACGTTGGATTTCTCAATCCTACAGAGCCAATGCTTGGATGGAACACAACTTCCATCCAAAGCATCCTAAGAGTCTTTGTACAGCTACATCTTTCCTACTGGAGGAGAAAAAAAACCCAAACCACGGTATTTCATTGACATCAAAATGTCAATGCGCATCAGGATGCCTATCACTCTCCTACATGCTTTACCAAATATAGCCTCCACCTCCCCATTTTCTATCTGTCAGTAGAAGGGACTCCTCAGAGTCTGGCAGGCAACTCATCCCCACCAAAACCAGACCAGCCTCAGACAGAAGTCCTTCCCATAAAGCTAAACGCATCAGGCCATCTCCAAAACAAAGTGGGCGTACAGCCTTGATTACTTCACCATCCTCTCCCAGCTCCTCCCCCTTACCAATGCTCCTGGTGAGAACATAAGATCTGCACCTAGTTATAAACTGTACTATTCCCAAAAGGATAATGGGCTCCCATGTTTCCAAGCCAGTGGTGCCATTGCACAGGGAAGAACGACTCCAGCCAACCTTCCCAATGGGCCTGATGTGCAACCGGTTCAACCCCACCAGTTTTGGGGACAAAGCAAAAGCAAGAAGGCCAGGATCAGCAAAATACCGCAACTACTGAGCCTCGTTGCAATTGCTGCAGTGGATACAGAATAGACCTGAAATCTCCCCAAAGCAGGATGGTGCCTGGATGGTCCAGGGTTGGCCTGGACAGGCAAGAGGTTCCTGCCACCCTCAGTACAAAGCTGTGGCAGCCTGCACAACTTTGGACTTTCAAACCTTTCTCCACACTCCACTAATGGTGGTAAAGCCTTTACTTTGGAACGCGGTGAGAGTTTCTGGTGGAAGAAAAGAGACGATGCTAGTAATGTTCAGCATTTTATTGTCTGCAAGACTTGAAAAACAGGGGGTTTGCTAGGATATATTTACCTGTTTTGGATTCACATGCAAAACGAGCTGATGAGATTCACAATAGCTGACACACACATTCACTCACTAAAGCGAGTGACAGATTGGGGCGAGGGCGCCCATCTGCATTCAACAGTGGGAATGTGAGAAACTATTAAACTGATCCTCTAACAAACAACAGAATTCAAAACCCTAAGAGGATGGATTACCTTTAAGCGCAGAAAAACATTGCCCCAGTGCTGACAGACCGTGCTAGAGGCTATG